AAACAAAAATCTATTCCATACATCAAAAATTCAAAGGACAAATTTTTAATATTACATCTTCTCTTCACTCTGTGAAGATTTCCCGAAGATTTAATGAAAAATGGTGGAGTTATTCCAAAAAGTATAGAGAAAAGTCGCGTTTTGTGAAAACAGCCGATAAAGAAAAATAAAATATTGACTTTAGGGGGAAATGGTGGCGACAAACATGCCCGGTATGGGGAAAAATGCGGTGTTTGAGGGTTCTCGTGCGATGAAACAGTTGTAGGAGAGACTGGAGAAGCTAAAAATGCCTACAACTCAAAGTCCATAATTTTGAACAGAATCGGGACTTTGAGGGTGTAGCCTCCCCCCCCCCCCCTCCCTTAAACTTAAACAGTCTGACAAATAAGCATATATTGCAACAGTAAATCAACAACGTGATGACGAAACAATGCAGCCTTACTTTGCCTCTCCCACCAATAGCGCAGTCTTTTGCAAAGAGGGGTGGGGCGGCCGATCGTGTGATGCACAACCCCTCCTCTCGCCGACTCCACACAAGCCTACCTAGGCCTATGGGACCTAGAAACGCGCAGAAGGCACGGGTGTCGAGCAGCGCGCTGAAAAATCACAGCTAGCTGTTTCTGTGGAAAAGGGAGGGGGGCAGGCGCGGTTTGTCCATAGAGCACGGTCGTGCAGTGCCGCCCAAAATGTTTTAATGTTCTATGACGTAAAGCACCCACAATAATAAAAATAAAAGACGCCAAAAACAAACACTAGCCAAATATTATATCAAAACAAGGCCCTCACTGGCGCCGTAACTGTCATTTCTATTCTATACCGCCGTAAAACACCTACTATGCCATGCCCAAGTTCATGCGCTGTATCTAAACATAACAAGATAGTCAACAGTGGAAACCTGACCTATAAATCATTCTTTCGGATAACCCAAGCGATGACGACACTTGTAGAGAGTTTGGCGGTACATTAATATTAATAAGACGTCACATCTCAAATGTGCTCCTGCCGAATAGCGCCGAAACATAGCCCACAGTAGGCAATCTAATCTAAAAACAAACGCCATAGACTGTGCACTATTCCATGCCAAAAATATGTGGGCTCCGGAGCAATCCAGCGGAGTGCTCAAGTGAATTGTGATTGGTTCATTGTCTTTTCGCTATTTTAAATGACTCTGTGACCGTGAACCTGAGGGAGGTGAACGTGACATACTTAAGTCGCCGTCCTATGAGTTGTGCTTTTGAACGGTTTTGTAGTGGAGTGGTGAAATGTATTACTTGAGTGTTCAGTTCTAATTAATCTAATGCAGGACGAATGAAATTGACGTTTAGCTAACAAACAGATTAAATTCTAGAATCAAAGCCACAAGTAAAAAGAATGAAAATAAAAGCTCAAGGTCTTCCTTCACCAACCCAATGATCCTAAAATTATACACCATCCCATTTACTCTGCCCTTGATTATCTTCAGCCTCAGATATCTTAATTGTGCACGCCCACTTTTTAGACCCACGAGCCGCCCCTGGGGGGGGGGGGGGTGTATTTTACCGACCTTGCCTTTTTCCGTTTTTGAAAAAAAATAATTAGGCCTATTACTATTATTATTTTGTCTCAAGTGACATTGGCTTGACATCTCTACGGCGGCGTAATTAGTTCAACTATTCGGTGTTTGTGTTAGAGCTTCGCGTAAATGTTTTTTTACAAATAATATTTAAAGAAGAAGGAAAAATGGGACTGCAGGCACAGTTTGACGGATGCATGAGTAGCTCTATCTGTGATATACTGTATATAACATTTTTTTTTCACAACACGAAAAGGCAATAAAAGTCACTCAACATCTGTTGCAAATACTGACTAGACTGATACAAAAACATTTGTGTTTAACACTTTTTCATTCTCCCTGGGTGTAGAGGGCACACAACTTTTATCCCCACACATACCAGGATACAGATGGGGGTATGTATTAAATATTAGTGCTGCCGTAAGCAGGCAAAACGCCTTTAAAAAAATTGATAGCAGTTTCGAGATGAAGATGTTTTACATCAGAGTAACCAAAAAAAAAAAGGCATTCTTCCGAAATATGAATTCTAATTTATTCAAAAACTAGATCTAGTCTCAGTTTCACTTTGCTTTGGAGTTGGGTTTTTTTCGCACAAGTAGTAGGGTAACTGATCTGGCATTCGATTAAAAGCAAATAAAAATATTTAGCGCCAAAAACTAAAAAAAGGCGTTTTGTTAGCTTACAGCAGAGTACTAGATCTATACCTGCATCTCGGCAAAAATACTCCAACCACTAGGAAATTTTCAACATATTGAAAAAATTGAACATGATGACCGCATGTTCACGAAAAAGGAATTAGAAACGGAATTGAAAACATAACATCTAACACATTGTCATTCATCACCTGAACTCTCATCATGGTGTTAGTGTAAAGCAGCACTCATGCCAGGTCAACTCGACATTTAAAAAAAAATACTCCAATTGTTGTAAATAAACTTATTTTCGACCCCAAAGGCCACACAAACCATTCAGTAAGGAAATTATAACTTTAACAAGTGCTCACTCATATCAAAATGGAGATCATTGCTACATTTTTGTTGCTATACCACACCGTTGCCTATCGACGCCCCTTGGTATTAAAAAGTAAAGGGACGGCTTCTTACCGTCGCCGATCGGCATCCGTGGGTAATAGTGTTTAGCCCGAAGGAAAACCAACATAACATTTTCTTCACGAGTAATCTTGTAAAGTATTATATATAAATATATACATGTCACCAATGCATCATATCAAACATACACTCAACCTTCAATCTGAAAAACTGACCACATGAAACATTCTTGTTTTAAGTAAGCTTTTGACTGCACTTGCAACAAATAAGGGCTTAATAATATGACTGCCAAAGATTAGGTAGGTATTACAAGTGAGTAACAAACACAAAAAAGGAGAGGAGATAGGAACAATAGGTGCTTGATAGGAAAGGATCAAACCACACCAGAGCAACCGCCAACTGCCCACGCAACATTTTTTATCACATCCTCATCAAATTCTTATTACAAGTATTACGAAATAATAATATAGTGTTACAGGTACATCATTTCCAGGGGCATATGAGGACAACAGTGAGCGGTTGGCGGGGGCTCTGGTGAGCTTTGCTCCTTCTTAAAATTAAAAAAAAATAAAATTATGTAGGTGTTTTGATACCCTCACTGACACTATTTAGATTATATAGGAGGAAGACTTCCAACCCTGCCTGCCACAGCCAACCTGGATTGAGAGGGATACATGTGTACAACATTCCAACAGAAAGACATAAGATACTAGATAAAAATTTCTCCCCACTCGCGAATCGAACTCGAGTCTCCAGCGTGCAACAGCAAATTGCCTAACCACTTTGCCACAGACGCTAGTCTTTGCTCTGTCTTTCCTATCAAATATCAATCAGGGGCTCATGTGTTCTAGACTAGACGGTCAGAGTATAAGAACGTTTAGAGGCTCTAGAGGCACGGTGTTTGCCTTTCATTCAATAGGTCCTGGGCTCGAAAGCCGACAGCGGCAGAAAGTATTCTTCTCTAAAATGTTCTTCCTTCACATACTTTCCTGTTCTCTCACCATGTTCTGTCGTCTGCTTTCGTGTCCACTTTCTGCCCCCACCCCTCACCTCATTTGTCCCCTCCTCTGGGCTCCTGACTTGACTCTTTCAGCAGCCTTTCTACTGCTACTCCTTGGCTCATTCTTACTGCTGTCTTTCAGCCACACCCCTGATCTTAGGGTAGGTAAGACCGAACACCTAGCCTTCTCAGATAAGGGCCAAAAATCTTGGATGTCCCATGTGCAAGTTGCGCAAGTTTAAGATCCCCTGGTGGTTCAAAGTCCATAAGAGTAGGCTTCGGCCGCCCCCCAGGCAAAATTCAAAATTAATTCCCACCAAACTGAAAAAGTTTAAGGTGTCTCGCGTGCTCATATGACCTTACACAGTCGAGAGCCCAGTAAAACACTTACCAAACAAAAACCAAACAAAAACAGAATTTTAAAATGTTAAAAGAAACATCCTCCTTGTTGTCTTTGTATGTTACTACTTATTAACACCTCTAATCCTTGGCATTCATAAGACGTAATTGTGTTGCAGTAAAACTAGTATGAAAATTAAACTAAAAAAGGAGGAAAGCAATACTTTGTGCAGTCCAGTTCAGATGATTCAAACACGGAAAACTCCAATTCACAGATAGCTCAAACAATATGCCATCTCCCAACTGAACCACTATATTATTTTCTTCATACTGGCAACCTAGTTTTCTCACAAACACCTAAACATAGTAAATGTCAAACAGCTCATCTGATAAAAGCCCGGTCAAATTTTTCCTCACAAACCAAAAACTTCTTTGAATCTAGCCATGTGACGGTGGGTGCCTTATTGTGGGGTATGATCAAAGACAGACAAGGTGATGCTGCACTGGGCTGTATGGTGTGCGAATTAAGTGTGTGTTTGTGTGCAAGGCATATCTGGGTCGTTTTTTTTGGTTTGTTTTTTAAACATATACATTTTTACACCCCCATCAACACAGTTTGACGGCTTCTGACTCTGCTTGTCAGGGCCACCATAGCCGAGAAGGATACCACAACCTCCCAGCAAATTGTGTGTGTGTCTGTGTGGTTGTTTAAACATGAAGGTATGGATCAGGAAGTGATTACACAAGATGGGCGGTGGTTGTCCTCAGACCAGTATTGGTAACATCACCATGATTTTGATCTGACGTAAGATCACTTTTTCAATTCGGCCTAAACGGTTGAAAGGCTCATACGCATCGCTCTCTTCCTCTGTCTTGCTTTGACACTGAAGAAGGCGCAACCTGTCGATTCATTCTTCTATGCTTTTACTTTTACTGATACTGGGTACTTTTCATAACGGCAGAGATTTGCTTTCCAACTACTGAACCTCACAAATACTTGCCTTGATTTTGTTCAATAGTATATTTTCCCCTTATTTTTCCTTACCGCAGTTTACTCGAATTTTTGAATTATGGATGTGTCAGACGCATTGGCCAATCCCTGACAAATTTGACTGTCATGTAATTTGGTTATGAATTTGTTATATTGCATGGTTGTCATATCAAAACTGAAAAGATCATTGCTGAAAACAAAAAAGGGACTGTTTCAAGAGAGAAAGGAGAAATCTGATGACCAACACAGTATCAAAGATCAAAGTTATGACAGAGTAGAAAAACTGTTGCAAGACAGGGGATAAGTACCACGGTAGAATTGAAAACCTTGAGAAAAAATACCACTTTCTCCTAAGTCTGAAAGTCCTGTAGAATGAGGTAGTCCTTCAGTGCGTACTTCTTTTTTGTCAGACAGTAGACCTGCCAGTTGAGCAGATATCCTTTCCTTGTCAGAAAGATGGTATGGGTGGGCAAGCTTCATGAAAAAATGAAAAAAATGTTGAATGAGATAATTCTGGGAGACCAGCATCACAAAACAATAGAATGGAGAAATTTGTGGGAGAAACAACTCACGTACCATGACAAAAGGGAAAAGTTGTTGAATTGAGATGATTCTGATTGTCATGAGTGAACGGAAAAACTGATAGCAGACTGACTTAGACGGCAATGGAGGGTCAGATTCTCACTCCGACACACTCTCAGCTCCTCTGAGGGAGTTGCCACTACAGCTGCCTGCTGCCAGTGATGGTCTGAGTCCAGTGTGCTGACCGAATGGACTTGCAGGGGATCAGATTCTTTCATAGGTGAATCCACTGCACTAGCAACATGTCTTTCTTGGTCAGTAAACTTTTCGATGGATGTCTTACGTGAATTTCTGGAAGACGTGCAGTCTTCTAGAGAAAAAACACCACTCTCTCCCGAGTCTGAAAGTCCTGTTGAATGAGGTAGTCCTTCAGTACATATTTCTTTTTTGTCAGATAGACCTGCCAGTTGAGCAGAAAGCTTTTCTTTGTCAGAAAGCTTCTCAGTGAATGTTGAACCTCCTCCTTTCACCATAACCTCAGTTTCAGAAAGTTCTTCTGCACCTGTATGACCCCCCATGACACAATGGGAACTATGCCTCAAAGGTTTTTCATTACTTTGGAGTTTTACAGAAATAGAACTTTCAGCATCTTCAACCACTGATGCATCATTTTGCAACATTGGTGTTTTTCGAACAGAAATATTGGGAGACTTAGTTGCTTTCCTCCCTTGTCTCACAGAATCAACTGCTTGAGTAAAGGGAAACTGTAAGACAAACCAGTACACCAGAGCCGAGATCTTGCCAGAAGCAATCACAGGAACCTGAGAGAAAAACAGACAGTATAAAACATTAGTAAAATAAAAATAATTCAATGCAGTGTGCGATATGTAGATACTTGTCTATAATACAAGCCCTTTTTCAAAACAATGAGGTCCAAAAGTATACCGCCTGTACTGTACGCATAATGACATCAGCCACAGCCAGGATTGGGCTCATTAAAGGGAAAGTAAAGCCAAATAAGACTTTCCATTGAACAAGATTGTCTCACAGATTAAATCAATCTCATTGCAACAACTAACAGTTCTTAAAGGTAAGACACTATATTTGAGAGGCATTTTGGTGAAATCAGATGCTCGTCAAAATAAGGGAATCAAAGAAAAAAGCATTTTTCCACCAGTTTGGCAATTTTTATCGAAATTTTTGTTGTTGTCTAAACACTTTTTATGTTCATAGGAAAACACATTTTCATTTACATGAAAAACCTTGTTTAATGGCACAAAATATGTAATCTTCAGTTTTCAAGGACTCTTAAGCTTTTAAAGTTACCAAACTTCGGCGGCCATTTTCTAGCTTATTTTACTTCTGAAACCAGGCGGCCCCACCTTCCATCGCAAATATCTCGACTTCTATTCAAGATAAATGAATATTTTTTCATAGAAAGCAGGGCAAATGAACAATCTTTAAGGTGACATCAACAACTCCATTTGCCCAAAAATTGATGAGCGCCTGATTCCACTGCACTGTGACACATTTGATGCCAAACTAGTACTTAATTTCTCTCATGATGAGCACCGCCCCCCAACCCCCAACCAAATGAGCCAATTTTGGAGCCAAAGTGTACACACATGTTACAGTATTATTATTGAACGTAATTGTGCAAGTTTTACGCCCGCCCTGATCAATACTGTTGAGATTACTCAGGAAGCAGGCAGCTTTAATTTAGCCTGTCAGGGCCAACCTGGGCAGAGAGGTATACAATGTCCCTTACAAAAAAGATGGAAATATTTCCCTCATGAGAAGTGAACTCACTTCTCCTGTCTGTGATGAAAAAGCGCTACACCACAGGCACTGTTACAATATAATCTGACAGAGTAAAAGTTTTTTTTAAAAGCAGCAAATGTAAATATCTATTTTGTGCAAGCTCTACAACCAAGTCTTTAAAAACTACAGGCATTTGTAAGAAGAAAATGTTTTCCTTTTTTCAAATGCAAGAACCAAGAGATATAAAGATTTATTCATACCATTATCAATATGAGCTATTGTCAAGGGTTCGAGAATAACAAGACTTCAAATGTCCATCCAATGATTACTCAAGTGAGTGTGTGTGTTTGTGTGTGTGTGTGTGTGTGCGTGTGCGTGTGTGTGAGTGTGTTTTGATGAGTGTATGCTTTGGCATGAGAGTGTTTTGATGTATACATGCCACAGCAGATTTTTATTTGTGGAGATCAATACGATATATATTATCTATCAAATAAGATACCTTTATTTGAATGCTCTGGTCCAAGGGATCCTCAGAATTGCTGTCTTCCTCACTCAGGACACATTCCTCCACAACCTGAGAACTGCTGAGTGAGACGCCCTCTTCACTTTCTCTTCTCTTCTTCTGGTGAGGTTCCTCATCATAATTAATATCATTACTAGAAGCTTCAAGTACTTTCTCTGAGCAGGAAGAAGCACATAATTGTTGTGAGTCCGGAAGCAGGACGGAGCAGTGAACGGATTCTTTTCCAAGACTGGTGGCTTTTGAGCCTTCTGTTGTTGTAAGATGACTATTTGTTGAAGGAGTTAACGAAGCATCCAACCCCTGAGGTTGACTAGAGGGGAAGACTTGGTGAACTGATTGAGGTAGACAAGAACAACTGCCAACATTTTGAAGAACTGTGTCTCTTGATTTATTTTCCTGCGGTGAGTCATCTGCTATTTCAGGAGGAACACAACCATCTACATCACAAGGGACAACATCAGAACCTTCACCAGAGGGCTCACAAAAGTCAGAACTAATGCTTGCAGGGTTGGAAGACATCATGTTTAGGGAACTAAGGTTAACGCTGCTAATACTGGAACAAACAACATCACTGGGTATCACACAGTTAGAGTTTCTGTCGGACAAATTAGACGCCATCTTCTTCTCAATAGGTTTTATTGCTCTGTCTTCCAGCGGAAGTTCTGTTCCACTCATATTTTCCTCTGAATTAATTTTTTCTTTTTGAGACACTTTCTCTGTTGGATCCACATCATCAGCACTGAGAGGAGTAGGGACTCCAGCTGATTTTGATGGCACTCCCAATAGTTGACTGATATCAATGGAAAACATTTTGAACGACTCCGTAAGCTTCACATGAGATAGCTCGTTCAGTGTAATGCCTTGGTGATTCTTTGTCTGGGGGCAAAAAGGCAAGGACAATGTTTTAGATAACTCATAACTAATGAGGCGCTTGTTGTTAAAATGGCACAGGTATCTTCGACCTCTATTGATTCCATTAGATAATGAGATGTCCAAGCTGTATCAATGACAATAATGGAGGTATACGAAAGTTCTGCTCTGCTCATTTACAAATATCATAAGATTATAATCAAAGATTGTTTCCATTCTCATATAAAGAAAAGACACACAGACTGACTAAAAGAAAACCTAAGATACAGATTAGTCAACAATACCAATTATTTTTGCACTCAAGTCAAGCAGAAAAAGAACAACCAAGCAAAAAAAAAATAAAGCAAAAGGAACTTTTCATATCAGATGAATTTTTAAATATTTTAAGTCGGCTACTCACAGAGAATCTATTCAAATACTCTCCAATATGTAGACCAAGAGTATTTTCATGGCCCTGAACACTACTGAGACCGAGTAGTTCCTCTGACTCCACAAGAACCCCATAGACTTCCACATGTGCAGGAACAGGAATGATCTGTGAGTAGCTGTGCAAGCATTCCCTGTGGGGAAGTAATAAAAAATTTTTAGGACATATGTATTCAGGCACAGGCATTTTCAAATAACATTTGTCACTACTTGTGTGATCCCCACCATCTATTAAAATTACCAAATTGCCCTAAGGTGGACAATAACGTCTTGGTTGGCAAGCACTGATTTAGGTAAACATTATATCAGAAAAGATTAATTTTTTACAATAATATTTTATCAGCTTTGAACATTTGAACTGTACAATTTCTAGGAGCAAATATTAATTAACTTTTGAAAGCAAAATTAAACAGAGGCTTCAATTAGCCCTAAAGTTTACATCTTCAGTTACACCTGTTTACTGCTTTAAGAGTTTTCTCATTATTTTTTTTGGCTAAATTAATGTATAATTAACATTTCTTTAAAATTTCCCTTAGAAACCTCAGTGTTAGTTCATTGAAAGAAAAATCAATCCATAGTGCACAGAATTTTTAGGACTTTAGGCTTTTTTCCATCATAAATTACATGTTATTCCCTTCTTTTAAGTCCATGTTGGAACCATTTATAGCACAAACGTTGTCTTATACTTAAGTAAGATCTAAAGAATTTGTGCCAACAATACAGCCTTGAAAAGCAGTAAAAGAATAAAACTATTTAGAAGCCCTATTTTACCTCATGTCACAGACAAGTTCATCACTATCATACACATGTATTGTAAAGTTGTATAATGAATTATCGTAAAACAGGCTAACTTTTCCAACAATTCCTCAATGAACATTACCGTAAAGCAGCAAATTGTTCTGACAGTCCTTCAATAAGTCGACCCTCAAAGTCCATCAAGTCACAAGCAACTATCACAGCAGGCAAGGCAGCACAGCTATCATCGAGGGATGATGTTGTTCCCTGTGCACTATCCTCCAGTTGTGCACTTGTGAGCACCATGTGACCTGATGAAGGAGAACACTGCCTAAAAGTCTCGCTGTTCATCAAGTCGTAAGGGCTATCTATCATAATGAGTCGCGATGAGTCTATGTTGTTGATGGTGGCAATTTGAGAGAGAAGTTCCTGCTGCACAGACGGTGAGCTTGCATGAGTGACAGCTTGACGGCAGCCTTCTCGCAAAGCCTAGAAGAAAAAATTTAAAAAACAATAGGAGACTTTAGTAATTCTGGTACATTTGATGTCTTTGTTTGTCACACCTAAGCATGAACCCATGTCCTATCAGACAAAAAAATTGGTAATGTTGAGAGCTGAACACAAAAGAACAGGACTGAAAGACAATTTATCCAAGGCGGACTGAAGAAAATAAAAATTATCACTTGCTTGTACACTTACCTGTGTACATTAACATTTACATCTTATAAATAATTGAAACTTGGAAAGTGGTATCATTTGTACAGTAACAAAATTAATCATAATGAACACAATCTTAATGAACCCAAGCATTTATCCTTGATAACCACAAAGCTTTATTTTAATCTGCACATAGTAGGTCTTCCTTCAGTGGGTTTTTTTTTTTTTTGGACTGCGCATCACAATCTCTATAGATCTTTTTCCAAATGAGCTCACCAAGGTAATAATTATTCTCATACAAGGAATGGAAAAGAGGAATTTTAAACCTTTTATTTTGATACCCCTTAAACTTTTGTGTAGCAATGTGGTGTACTTAAGCACTCATAAAAATAATGACATTGAAGAAATCAACATAAAATTTGTCCATCCTTTGGGCAATTTTTATTGACATTTTTATTTTGGGCTCAACACCTTTTCTATCCATTTAAAAACACATTTCTATTAGGATTAATTTTAAAAACATTGATCAAAGGCACAAAATATGTAGCTTTGCACTTTCCAAGTGCACTCAAACTTTAATTACCAAACTTTGGTGGCACTTTTCACACTAATTTTACATCTCACTTTTCTCAGTAATTTTACACGTGAGACCAGATGACTGCCACCTCTTTCAGTTGCAAATTTGACTTCGATTCAAGATATGGGTAATTTTAAAATCAACAGCAATTCAAATAAACAGACTTTAGGATTATACCAATAACTCAACACGCCTAAAAATTGATGAGCCCTTGATTTTATCACGTGACTAATTTGCAATTCAGAAATATCCCATACAGGATAGTTGGTCTTTTTGTGAAGTAGGAAAAGATTTTTTTAAATGGTTGAAGCAGACTTTAGTTGAGATTGAATACATATTAAATATTAGAAAACCTCAAAGAGTACCTGAAGGCATAGAGTGGAGAAGCCATTGTTGAGATGAATAAAGTCTACAGCTGAAAGAGAGAGATTTGCTCGCACTTCACGATTCATAGTTTCACGCAGGACGGATTGTAACTTGTAGTCATTCAGGAGAGCAATCTCAGGGACTAACAGACAGAACACTCCTTGCTGGCACCAGTCTGATTCCTCTCTGTAAAACTGAGATAAAAAGAAAAAGTAATAAGAGATTCCTGGATTGAAGAAAGTAGATAGGAATATTCAAATGAGTTCCAACCAGGTTTGTGAGTATACATCTCTACTTTGGAAAGATTATATCAAATAAAAAGAACACAGTACAATAAAACCTTGGTATAATGTACTTCACAGGGACCCAAGACTTTGACAGTCTTAGCCACGGTAAGTGATTTTTTAACCAAAGACAAAGTTGACAACAAGGGAGGTAACCAAAAATTTGATGTCCAAACTTTCCAACTCCGTACTGAATTGCACACACGAGGTAGACCAGGTAGCTCAGTACGTAAGTAAGCCAATTAGATCAGGCACAAGAGGCCTTGGGATCCAAATACAGCAGGCTAAAAATTGTTCAAGACAGCAACTCATTGTCGAGGAGAAAGCAGGATGTCTAAGACTTCAGTGGTGGATATCTTGGACAGTGTCATATTAATGAAGAAAAAACATAAGGGACTTAGAGGGAAGTGGTCGAGTGTACAAGTAATTGTCTTGGTCAGTTAGATATTAGAGCAAGTTCGACTTCATACTTCTTACCATAGCTTGTCTTGAATGACTTTGAGGCTAATTAAAGCTCAAAAATTAATTTACATTGATAGGCATGAACTGGGAAGTCTTGACGCTAAAAATTAAGAAAATCAAGTAGAAACTTGGGTGAAATTGTTGAGGCCAATAAACATGCAACAACCACTAAATTTGTTCTAAAAGCAGGCCTTTAAGTGTAAAGGCCTATGAATAAAGGAAAGATGTAGAAATGTCAAAACATATTTTAGCCCTTAGGAGTATGAATGGAAGAAAGATGTACGAGTATCAAAACAAATTTTAGCCCTAATGCCCATCAAAATTACTTTGAACATATTATTATCTACAGGTTGTCCATACACAAAAAATAGTTAAAAACTATAGCTATAATATTATATTAAATTTATGATCTTACAAGTGATGGGCCACAGTTGGTCTGGTCACACGCCCTGTCGCGGAAGTCACCAGCTATGTCTGTGACACACATGTGGAGCTTGCTCCCCTTCACTTGGTGATGGACAACAAGCTGACACCCAGGATGTACACTGAGATCCTTTGGAGGTTCTCCTGACAGTGGAAGGGTCAAATGAAAAAATGGGCTTAATCACAAATTGGAAATCATGAGCGTATCAATTTTAAGAGCTTGGCGAAGACTCATAACTGCATTTCTGTTCAAGTCTTGGCTGCTTATGATTGTTTGACTTCTCATTCAACTAATGATAACAATAAATCAAGTCAAATGGAGACTACAATATGAGTGTACAAGCTTTCAAAATTGAAACCCTCACAATTTCCAGTTTGTGACCATTCCCGTTTTTTCACTGAATTCTTCAACAATCTATATAACGAAACATCATTACAACATCAGTGAACTCATTAGCACCACTTACATGATGGCAAAGTTATTGGTAGGTAAAATATATGAGACTGCAAAACAGTAGGAATGAATTTGAACACCGCTGTCTAGAAAATGCATTTCACTCTGATGAAAAAATACACAAAAAACTTTCAACATACAGTCAAACCTGTGTAAGACGGCCACCCATTGTCATGGAGAAAAGTGGCCGTATAAGACAGGTGGCCGTCTAAGGCAGGACTGATCAAGATGAAGAAAACAAACCATTCCCATCTGAGGTCCCAATCGAAAGTAGCCGCATTGTTGTTGTTTTTGTTGTTGTTGGTGGTGGTTTGTATTTTGTTTGTAATTTTTATTTTGTTGCTGATTTTGCACAAGGGTGACAATAAAACGAAATGTATTAGATGAGGAAAACTGAGTGCTATGTTAAAACAAACACATGGGTCGCCACCACTAGGAGAACGAGCGACGCTTCTGCCACAAGTTCATGTTGACGTCCTTTGTTACTTTGTTACAGACTGGGTAAACAGTGACCACTCATCTCACTTACGATTTGTGTTTGAGTTCTGGGCGGGGCTTATGGGTTATGAGGGATCACACACTTACCTCACCAGCAGCTGAAAATTGGTAGCTATTGGTCAACAGTGGGAGGGGCCTACTCAACATGATCGGTTGGAGGGACTACTTAACAACAACGAGAGGTGATTGAATTATGACGGCCCGCCCACAACGCCAGGGGCCAATGCACAATTTATGACTAAACGTATTGGAGTCACTAAGGTGGCCGTCTAAGACAGGTGTTATTGCTTAGTGTGATAGGGGTTGTGTGTTAAAATAAGGTGGCCGTGGCCGCGTTGGACAGGTGCCCGTTTTACACAGTTAAATTATATAGAAAAAACGCAAGGGGGGAAATGGAAAGTGGCCGTTTGTACAGGTGGCCATCTTATAGAGGTGGCCGTCAGAGCAGGTTCGACTGTATTGTTAGACTGTGCTGGGAAACTTGATCACACAAAAACAACAGTGGAAAAATCTGAAGGAGGAGAACTTCTGAGAAGACTTGTTCAAACTTGCAGTCTCTTTGTTTTAGCTGTTACAATTATCTACTCATAAAATACATTTACTTTTCGTGTACTTAACCCTATCCGTACGCCCTGAGGGTCATTTTGTACCCCCGGGTTTGTATTCTTCACATTTTAGAATACTTCTAGTACGAATATCTCTTTGAAACTTTCAGTATTGGTTAAAAAATCATTTTGACAGACTGCTATGCAAAACGTATGGATCGGATTTATAACAAGCAAATTTCCTCTTCGGAAAGTGGTGGCACAGAGTTCCACACATCGTAAGGATACGATAGTCAAATACGACATAAGGACAGGGTTAAAATAGTTAAAAGAAGATAAAATTAAAACAGTTGAACCTGTTCTAACAGCTCCCTGTTCAAGACAATCTCCTCCATAAACGACCAGTTCCCACCTGCCACCTTGCTTTTTAAAAATGTTAATGTTATAATGACTCTTTCCAAGAAGTCCACCTGTCTAAGACAACCACTTTTCTAAATGACAATAGGTGACTGTTTAGGACAATTTCGACTTTATTTTAGTATAAACAAACTGATTATAATTAAGTAAGAACAAAACACAAACACCCTTTTATATAGATGCTTACTTCCAGTAGACTGTGCCTCTGAGAGTCTGACCGTAGAGACAGGAAAAACAGCTTGCTCCCAACACCCTCTATTCTGTGGGTGAGTTGAGATCTGTACTCCTTCACACAAATGCAGATCGAACCAAACAACAAGAGCATCCAGCCTCCCATTGTCAGAGATGTTTAACACAAATGACCCCACACTGCCTTCATTCAAATGTGAAATTTCCTAGGATGACATATAGAGAAAAAAGAAAAAGAAAAGGGCAATGATTATTGAGAATGCTTGCTGACACTATTCGAGAAAAAGGTGAAATAGATTTGATGCCCCTATCTGAAAGGACCGCGACAAAACAGGAATTTTGAGTAAAGTGTCTTTCCCAAGGACACGATGTCGGACAGAGCAGAGGTTCAAACCCCCGAACCTGCAATCTCACAATTATGGGTCCGGCAGCCTAACTACTAAGCCACCGACACCACCACACTAGTTGTGGGAAGACAACTTTTTCAAAATTATGATACGCTTCAGAGGTCCAAAACTAAAGACAGGAGAACGTTGTGCTTTGAATATAACTGGATTGCATCTCTATGTACTAACCTTATTAACCTGAAAACAAGGCTAAATGGCTCAAAGATGTATACAATAAATGTTAAAAATGCTCATCGGTAAAACTATTTCAGTTATTCACAGCTTTACTGTGACTATCAGCACTGACCAAGGCAGATCAAGCAAAGAACATGTGTTGTGAATATTTTTACCAAACATAGGAACAGCAGTGAGGTTACTGAATATATGGTGCTACAAATATGAGAGAGAGAGAGAGAGAGAGAGAGAGA